GTATTTCAAAGTCCAGATAGGTGCCACTTTCGAAAAATTTTCGATTATAATTACGGACTATGGGGCGAAGGATTAAACGACAAAATACTACGTTCGCTAACGAAGAAGAAATATACTTAAAATTGTTTTTGACTCTTACATTGATACGAGGTTTTCAATAGAGAATAGTTCTGATTTATATTTCTGAAAGAATTGTTGAATTTGATGCAAAACTTCCCGAGATATGACGAGAGATTTACCGGGGATTTATGGGCGGCGCTTCGTCTCGAATTTCACTCACGCCGGCATGGCGGTTATAATAAGCTAAAACTCGAAAATAAAATAGAATTTAAAAATTTTAAAACCGGCAAAAATATTGCTAAGGCAAACACAACACGTGGGCAAAATAGAAGCGAAAATCATTTTCTTGCTTGAAAGCCACTGGTCGGTTCTTAGAGAGACAGCCTCTTAAGGCTTTCATATAGCTATCGTCAGAGACGTAGCCAGGGTTTTCAGTCAGAGGAGGCCGAGAACTGAATCCCAAGAGGGGCCAAGGAATTTTCACTGTGCTAGCTTTATTTTATATGGTTATGTCTTAATGTTCCCCACACTAAAGCTTACAAAAAGTGTATAAGTGCGCCAAAACCTAAAACATGCAGGGATAGAGGTACAGTATATGAATGACCTGTAACCTTGGGGGGTTTGCAGGCATGCTCCCCCGGGAAAATTTTAAAATTTGAACTTCGGAAATGCCATTTCCTGCGTTTTCAGCCATGGATTTGTCAAACAAATTTTGCTGTACTAAGCCTAAGGAACACTTACTGTCCTTTATTTTAAACAAGGGAAAATCACAAAATAAGCTTTGATAATAAAACAAGATTTCAATAATGCGATTTTTAACTGCCCTCCGAAACAACAATGTTCCACCAAATATAGCTATGTAACTTTTCAATCGTTCATACAAATAGCTTGTTGGGGATCTGGTTGCATCCTCTTCAGAAATTTTTTAAAATCTAGACTCTCTAAACTGGCATTTTTGCATTAAAATCATGATCGTATATACAGTACGTTCAACTTCCATCCTGTAGATGGGCCTGTGAAGCTTTAATAGTTTGGAGCTATGCATGTTATCAAAAAACGCACACAGACTCAACCATCCAAAAATACGTTTTCTACCATGCATATTAGATATGTATAAATAACTTATAAACTTGTACATATCTTAAGCCCAGACTTTCTCAGGAGGGGGGGGCAACAATTTTGCCAGGGAACACCACTAACGTATGTTATAGGCTTCAAAGGCGGTAGAATCCCTGTGATGTTGTCCACTGTTCACTCGTGTTCTTTTAAGCAAATGTGCCTGCTCAAAAATGCAAAATCTGGCAAGCCTGTAGACACAATACTGAAGTGAAGAACGGCAGTAGATTTACATGTAGAAATTTTTTTTTGAGCGCTTGCATGATATTTTTTTTCTCGATTGTATGCTGCATGTTTTTTTTTCTTTCTCCTTGAATTGCAGGAAATTTTTTGTCGAAATCTTCCGTGGTTTATCAAGTGGTTTATTTTAACATGCCTATTATTTTAAATCCCTTGGAACCACTTACGGTGGACATAAACAAAGAAATATAGATTAATACAATAGTGCTATAAACTTATTTGAGGAAAAGGTTATTTGGCAGAACTACAGTACAGCACATTTTTAGCAGTGACATGAACTCAGACGTCTGACCTCAGCAACATTCTAATGTAAACAAAAGGCCATAAATAGTATCAAATTTCAAACGCTCTCAATTGTTCAAATCGCGTTTGCAGACGAGTTTTATTACGGTTTTTAGTACTTAAAAGTGTCCTTTTTCCAACCATACTAGTCACTGTATGTAATTAGGTCCCACTTTTAAGAAATTCAACGTAGAAAATAGTAGGATTTGAAAGCCGTATTTTGACATGACGCTCTTTGTCGCTAAATATTGTCACAAATGCTCTGTAATTGAAAACCTAAGTTAGTTTAGATGAAATTACGATAGTTTTCCGGTGCTGGGTGTGAATATCAGAAATTTTGAACAATAACTTTTGAAATTATGTTTTTTAAATTCAGCCCATTTTTTCATTTAATTAGCTGGCGAATTTCTCCCGCGACGTTGCGAGACCAAAAAATCGCTAAAACTTTGAAACTAAATATATTTTGAAAATTCCAAACAGCATTTGTTTGTTGTTAAAGTAAATGTAGTTCACGGTAAAAGTTTCGAAGAAATTTATTTTTTGAGCCCCAAATCGGTGGGGGTTTTTACAGACACACGCTCTTAACCGATATCCCCTGCAAGAATGATACCGTATAACTCTCAAAACAACGTTGCTTTAATCAAAGAGCTTAACTCCGCTCTGAAATCCGTGAGGGAATAACAAAATTCGGCCAAAATATATCTGTGTGCTGGGTTTGCTGTGCAAAAAGCGGAAGTCGTTGAACACCTCAAAATACACTCAACCCTGATTGGACAATGAATATCAACAAACATTTCAAATTTTTTTAACAAACACAATGTGAAATACAATTTATACATATTAACGTTACTACAGTTATATTTACATGCAGTAATATTTGCACTTTATAATGTTTGTGAATAGTTTTGATTGTATGATTGAAATTATTACAGTACTGTTAAAAAAATTTGAAACGTTTGTTGATTAAAGCATCGTTGTTTTGAGATTTATACGGTATCATTCTTGCAGGGGATATCGATTAATTGTGAAAGAAATGCATTAAAAGCGAAAAATCGAGGATAGTTTTGTGTGACATATGTCAAGTCTGGGCTATTTTGGTCTCAATGTCTCTGTCCTTCCCTCGTTATAAGGAAGGCACAGGTGGGCGCGGGCAAATCGAACCTGGGCCTCCTGTGGCCAAACAAGCAACTTCATAGGTATTCAGATTCTGAAAACTTAATAGTTTCTTTACATGAAATGTGTTTAACAATATGTGTAAAATCAAAGAATGTTTTATTCAGATTCAACAACGTTTTACATGTCTTTTGTGAAATAATATCAATATATATTAGTATAGCATAAATCCTCTTAAGGTGTTATTGTATTGGTTCAGCCAGAGTACATTTTTAAATGTTGTGAATAGGGAAACCTAATTATACAGTGTAGCTACATGTCTTCTGATTGGCCAATAGCTTACAGCTATAGAAATCATACAACCTACACATAACAATGTTATCTGGTAGCAGATAAAACTGTTTCTGTGATCTGTAAGTTAAGTTAGTGGTGTTGGAGACTGGGGCTTAATAGAAGATTTATGCTTAGTATTTTGAAAGATTGCATTTCCAATCATTTTCGGTGTATAAATACTGCACATTTGAAATCAAATTACTACACCAGTCTCCTCTTCACGGTACAGCATTTTGGTAAGGGCTAGTCGGAGGTATCCTTTAGCTTCCTGCATGATCTCATTCCAAGAAGTGCACGCACAGTTTCCCTGTCCCGCTTTTCATTCGTTACAGGGTCAATTGACAGATCGCATTTCTTGGATATGGCATCCACATGTGCAATGCAGATATTATGCAACACAACGCAAGCAAGTGTTACTAATTTAGTTTGGGCAGCGCTGCTTTCACATTTTCGTAGAACGTGCCATCTGCCTTTCAATTGCCCATGTGCAATAACCATGTGTGCTCGGCTGAGCCTGTTGTTGAAGTTTCTCTGCTTTTCTTTCAGAGTGGCATCTGTGTATGGTTTCATAAGCCATGTTTGTAAGGGAAACGCTGAGTCTTCAAGCACAAGTGGTGGTAAAGTTCTTCCCTCTATTTTCTTGCCAATTTCTGAATGAACTGACCCTCTTCTATTTTATGTCATAAATCAGTCAACTGTAATATGACAGCGTCATGGGAGTTCCCAGTAAAACCACAACTCGCCCAAATAAAATGGTATCTAGCATCAGTGAATGCCATTAAGACCAACAAATAAAAGTTCTTATAGTTGTGGTATTCCTTGCAAGATTCAAGTCTACCAGGTGGACACTTGATTGGAATGTGGCAACCGTCCACAACCGCCCAACAACACGGAAATTGCCAAAACTGTTCCATATCGACCATCTTGTTTATAAACATTTCTTTTGGTAAGTGTTTGCTCACTTGTGTAGTCCACAGGCACTCAACAATTGCTCGAGAAAGTTCAGAAACAATATTACAAACTGTAGCAACTCCTAGCCCAGACATTTGGGCGATTGTATGGTAATAGTCACCCCTAGCGAGACAATATAAACAAATAGGAAGTCTTTCTTAAGGTGTTATTGGTTCCTCATAAATGTTCTTTCGCTCCAATCTGTGTCTGATGGGTTCCAAAATTTGTTGGTATGTTTTCTGTGAACTTGTAAGGTCTTCTTAAATCTTGAGTCGGTGAATGTGCTCCACACTGTTGACCACCAGCCAGGATTTCGATGAAATCTTTGACACAAACGTTATCTGGATGTACTCGAACACATAGATTGCATCAAGCATAGCAGTGAAAAAATGATATTAAGCAATATCCTTCTCCTCATAACAAGGAAAGATATCATATTAAACAAACACATTCTTCTCTTATGGTTGTTCTCGATTAGCTTCCAAATAAGAAGACTTTTTATAACTCATGAGAACGCTTCGAAAAACTTTCCATGTTTAATTCATGATATGAATTTGATTTCCCGCCAAAGCGTGCCAATACATACACCACTGACAGTTATGTTTGCAAAACACAATAAATGAATTTGGCACGATTTATTCAGTTTGCCGTATAAAACAAGCGCCATGCTAAATAACTAAAGTCAAACCAAATATTAATACGTTCGGCACATGAAAAGCATGCCGTATAAACCTGGCCTTATTGTTTTAATCAATTTTTAATAATTAACAAGAAAATTTTTTAATAACTATATAACATTTACTACAGAAAAGGTGGGGATGCCACAAGTCTCCTTGGGATAAAGGAGACACACCCCACCCCAACCTGACAAACTGCTTGCCGATGATTGTGAAAAATATCTACATAACTGATACCACATGTTATGAAAACCTCAATCTATTTCAGTTTGAATGCACATGCTATCTCTAAACTGTTCATACGGAATCTTGTGTTATAAGTAATGACCCAGCTGAGCGAATAGGAGTTCAATTAAGTGAGCAACAAAAACAATATTTGATATCCAAAGGACCACACCAACCAGTTTTAGAGAAATACCCTTGCAATGTTGTGATTTCAAAATCTAAGCAAAATTCATTCAGCGCACAGTGGTACGAAGAATTTCCCTAGATCGAGCACTCTGCTTTGCCTGCAGTTTATTTGGTGATGGTGCAGAAACAGGAAGTGCAAAAACAAACTGGGCAAGCAATTGGCGCGAATTGATTTAACAAATTTATTCATATTCAACAAAAATATTCATTCAACTTTAACAAATTTATTCATATTCAACAAAAATATTCATTCAACTTCAACAAATTTATTCATATTCAACAAAAATATTCATTCAACTTCAACAAATTTATTCATATTCAACAAAAATATTCATTCAACTTCAACAAATTTATTCATATTCAACAAAAATATTCATTCAACTTCAACAAATTTATTCATATTCAACAAAAATATTCATTCAACTTCAACAAATTTATTCATATTCAACAAAAATATTCATTCAACTTCAACAATATTTTTTATTCAACAAAAATATTTATTCAAGAACTCCCGTGGTGCTGTTCGGTCGGTGTCACGGTGTTACTCTTTCCACTCGGATGAAAATTTCGAAAACTTCATATTTAGCCAGCCCTTCGAGCGCCTGCCTAGTGCCCGCTATGCAGGCTAACCACATGCTCCAATATGGCGTCTTTTTCAAACGTGATAAACGAACAGCACACTGTGGAGGAAAATGAGCAAGCAGTGACACCCCGC